TGGTATACCTACCGGTTTTCCCCATAACTGAAGATTTACATACGCGTTTATTTTTCAACTTCCTTTCAAAACCAACGTTCCTATCTGTTGATGTCGTTTGCTTGGCAGCACTTGATGTGTTAGTCGGATACATTAGCGACTTGCTGATTTCTTCTCTTTGGATGCTCTTTTTGGACTCGCTATGAACGTTCAAAGGCATCTTGATTTCATAATGTATAAACTGGATATTGGCATTAGGGCGAGCTCTCTAACGGTAGGTAATTCGTCATTCTTCGAAGGCGATAACGGCAGATCTGTTTTTTACAATCTCTATACTCTCTACTTACAAACCTTGAAGACGAAAAGTACTAAAGCCATTCTTTTTCAAACGTGTCTTTTAAGCTTTCCAAAACTGTTGATCACCACCTACGAGCATATTTGTTGGAGTTATATTCGTTCCCTTGAATACCCATGTGTCAACTTTCAATTGATCTCGACCTTGTAATCAATAAGCACGACGATATCGATTGTGATACCAGTTATTGAAACGAATATCGTATCTATTTGATAATAAAATTGTTTATTCTGAAGTATGTATTGAATTGATTAGTTCACTTAGGTCATATGCTTTTCTTTTTCGATTGGAATAAAAACCTTTTTAAACAATTATTGATCTACTACCCTTGTCGTAACTAATTAATTTTTATTGGAAGATTATGAACAGAATAGTACCATTTGAAGTGCCAATGAATTTATTTCAATTATAGATGGAAGCCAAAATGTGCTAACATACATATGAACTTGTATAATTATCAAAAGGTAAAGTCAAGCAATCAATAGTTGATAGTTTTTTAATACCAGAAACATTTTATAATTTCTAGAAGAAATAGGAAAAATAGGAAATAGAAAAACCAATTGAAAAAGGCCTCCAAAATGTTAATCAGCGAAATAAATCTCTTAATTAGCTGTTCATTGTTAATATGTATGCCAGGAGATCCAGCGGATTGTTTGGCCGCCAGTTTTGCTAGTTCATTTAGCGTTACTCAGGGTGCACGTGTAGTATTCTACTACAACCGCGAACTAGCTTTACATCCACCAAACAGGCAGAATCTCTCATCTCCTTAAACGATCAAAAATTATAGCCACACTGAAACCAGGCAAGCCAAACGATATGCCACAAAGTTACCGCCCGATCGCTCTACTCAGCAGATCTACAAGCTTCTAGAAAGGCCCTTCTTGTACAACAGAATTAGTCAGAAGATATTGGATAAAATTCCTGTTGAGCAGGCAGGTTTCCGCCCTAACAGAAACTGCACAGATCAAGTCCTATCACTAACCTCATTCATAGAAGCTTGCTTCCAGAATCAGCTAAAGACAGCAGCCGTCTTTACATATCTGACGGCTGCGTAACATATCTGTATGAAGAGCAGGCATCATTTTCAAACTCATGCGTGTAATACCCTGCAAGAAGACAGTAGACCTGATATATGATATGCTATCCAATAGAAACTTCCAAGTACCTACTCCTGGGTAATAACATGAGTACTCAGAAGAAGCTCAACAACGGCTTACCACAGGGATCAGTACTTGCTCCCTGCTGTTCAGCTTATATATTGCTAACATGCCTGAAAAAGTTCGAGAAAGTTCGGATACGCTGACGACTGGACACTAGCTGCTAGACACAAAGATATTGACCGAGGATATCCTAACAAACGACCTTCTAGGTATAGGGCAATACTTTCGCAAGTGGAAACTAAAACCAAGTGCTGCTAAGACAGAAGTCTCTAGTTTCTACCTGAACAACAAATTAGCCAATAGAAAACTGCAAAACTACTTTGAAGGCATGCTACTCAAACACAATAAACAACCATATACCTAGGGGTTACACCAGGCAGAACGTTGAGTTTTGAAGAACACTTGTCGAAAACCGCAGCTAAGAAACATCCTCCAGAAACTATACGGCACCACTTGGGAAGCATCAGCCTCCACACTGAAGTCTTCAGCCCTGGGCTTGGTGTATTCAGCAGCTGAATATTGCGCCCCGGTGTGGCTTAGCCACATAGCTCCTCCTCACCTCCGTAGAGAGCACGCTCTTGTCAGGGAATTCAAGATCATTAATAATCGTCAACCACCGATCCATTCCGATACCCTCGCCCTCGAAAGAAACTGACTCCGCTCCAGGCATAACCCTCTCAGAATCGGAAAGTATCTGCATAATTGCCGGTTTTGACATAACTGCCCGCTGGCGAGAAGAATGGGAGGTCAATGCTCCACTAGCCTACCACAACGTGCCTTGCATATCCAGCAAACCATATGGAATCGACTTACCCCGCAAAGCATGGTCAACTCTGAATAGAATTGAAACCAAATGCGGGAGATGCGCTGACTCACTTTTCAAATGGGGTAAAAACCCCATTTGGTAAACCTAATTTTCTCTGTCTTTTTATGCTTTTATACAATTATGTTTGTTAACTTTCATGATGTGAATAAGCCATACGCTAAATATGTCCACAGGTTACAGTCTACTTCCTTAAACAGCAGAGTACCTGTTACGTAGGCGTACATAACCGAGGCGGGTAAAAAGTGAAAAAATGTATTTTTTTATACATTCGATGTTGTATGATTTAATATAACAAAAGTAACAAAAATATAGAACTCTCACCTCAATAGTTAATAGATTTTTCTAATTAAACACCCAAAATTGTTTTTACTTTCGAATTTCGATTGAAATTTTGAATACCTTCTATGTAAATCAGTCTTTAATGTATCACAAAGCTGCACAGCTTATTTCTATGCTTTCAGTGATAGATAGGCCAAAAGAAATTGTGAAAAAATTTAAAGGAAGTAAATATCAGCTGGGAAAAACAAAACAAAAATCGATTTTAATCGAAAATGATGAAATTATTTGCTGGAGGAAATATTACCTAAGGTAGATGAGAGTTTCGACGTGAGATCTGAAAGATTTCTTATCTGGACGAAACTTGGCTTAACGAAGGATATACATTTGGAAAATATATGGCAAGACAAAAAATTACAAGTTCACGTTAAGCATTTTCAGAAGGTTGTTCTATCGGGTTGAAGTTGCCTTCTGGAAAAAAAGCGACTGACAATTACTCACGATAGAAGTGTTGATGGTTTTGTTGAAGGCGGTTCATTTATGTTTGAGTCAAAAGAAAATATTGAGCAAATGTTCACTCTGTGATTTTGATGGGTAATGCAAGTTATCATTCTATGAAAGTTTGAAGAATATCAGCTAATGCATGTAGAAAAGCCGATAACATTGAGTGGCCTAAACAAAAAAAATATCAGATGAAAGTATGGTTAAAAAAAAGTATTGTTCATAGTAGGTATGTTTAAATGAACTCGTTTCACGAAATATGTAGTAAACAAGATGGCACAGTAACGAAATATTTCAAAGTATTCAAGAATATAGTTCAATTTATGCATTTTTCTTGTTTATCTTTTGAAAAGAATGAAAAACATTTCATTTTCATTAGAATTTCTTACACCTTGAGTTACCCGTTCTGGTCTGGTCTGGATTCCTAGCCATACTGGCCTGGAAGGCAATGAAGCTGCTGACACTCTTGCAAAGGAGGGTGCTGCAAGCGACTTCATTGCACCAAAACCTTTCATTTGCATCGCTTTGGGCTTTGCCAAACAAGCACTCAAAACCTGGATGGCAAGAAGAGTTATGGACTTCTGGCAGAATCTTCCAGGATTGGCTCACGTCAAGGCGTTTATTCACCCTTCGAAGCTTGATTCCAAACAGTTGTTGGACTAGAGTAGGGATGAACTACTATGTCTAACAGGCCTTCTTACAGGTCACTGTCATTTGAATCATCACATGCAGAGACTTGGACTGTCGGAAGACAGTGTGTGTCGCCTCTGTCTGGAAAATGATGAAACTGCAGAGCATATACTTTGTGCCTGCCCCGCTGGGGACCGAATCAGGTTCTTTGAGTTCGGCAGATCCGTACTCTCACCGTATCTGACCTGAAAGACCACTCACCATACAAACTAATCGGCTTCGTTAAGAAGCTGGGTTTATTTGGCCGAGTGTGAGTCACAATAAACCCTTATGGGTTGCGGTGGAGGGTCGAATAGACCCACTCACTTTAAACCTACCTACCTACCCTTTCTGGTTTGTTGTGTGGCATTGTCCTGGTTTTTTATAATGGAAAAACTGTCTGAAAACAGTTGCTCAGTTTTTGGTGTAAGAAGCCTTGTGGGTCTATAAAACATAAAAAGGAGGGGATTTATCCTCAATTTTTTATTAATTTTTTTTATTGATTCGACCGTTACTTAATGAAGATCCATAGTAATTTCATAAACTACACCTCACAATTTGATCCCCACAAACTTTATTTGAGAAATATCACATGTTTCGCTAACACAGTAGCTTTATCAAGTGATTCAAATCACTTGATAGTGCTACTGTGTTAGTGATTTGATAAAGCTACTGTGTTAGTAATTTGAATCACTTGATAAAGAAAGCTACTCTGTTGGCGATACATGTTGTGCTATTTTTCAGATAAAGTTTGTGGACCGTTACTTGATGAAGATCCATAGTAATTTCATAAACTACACCTCACGATTTGATCCCCACAAACTTTATTTGAAAAATATCACGTTTCGCCAGTGTTAGTGATTTGACTCACTTGATAAAGCTACTGTGTTGGCGAAATATGTTGTGCTATTTTGCAAATAAAATTTGTAGAGATCAAATCGTGAGGTGTAGTTTATGAAATTCAATTTTTTCCCTGGTTTAGTTTGTTAACTTTAAAATACTAGTATTTATACTGAATAAAAAGATCATAAAATACGCAGTACACAATAAGAAATATAAAAAACCAGAAATATGAAACAGACAATATAAGGATATGAATGTGAGATAAATTAATTATATATGAAGTGTGATAGGCCAGTTTTCAGTAGCTCCAGAGAAGGGGGTTATGTTTATAAGCATATATAAAAACCATTGGATGAATTGAGTTGAATATAAATCAATTGAATGTTTTCAGGTGGGAGCCGAAAAAGACGTTTCCTTTGATAATGGCTTGGACGGTTCGGTAGCAGAAGACTGCTTTTTCGCAATGCAAGCTTACAGCAAAGGATACAGCTTCAATTTCATTGAAGGCGAGATGTGGGAAAAATCACCTTTCACCCTTTGGGATTTTGTACAGCAACGGAAACGATGGATGCAGGGAATCCTCCTTGTGGTCCACTCGAAATCCATACCTTTTAAAAATAAAATATTCTTAGGTTGCTCTTGCTACTCTTGGCTAACTTTACCCTTGTCTGTCTCCAATGTGCTATTGGCTTCAAAATTTCCCATTCCTTGTCCACCCGCTATTGATTTTTTGGTCGCATTTATCGGAGCCGTCAATATATACATGTTTATATTTGGTGTTATTAAATCATTCACGGTATACAGGTTTGGGCTGAGCAGATTTTTACTGTGTGTTGTGGCGGCAGTGATAGTGATTCCTTTCAACTTGATAATTGAAAATATAGCTATTATTTGGTGTATTTTAGGAAAGAAACACAAATTTTATGTTGTCAATAAGAGCGTGGGGCCTGCCATTACTGTCTAAGTTCAACAATATATTTATTGTCAGTCTGAATTATAATTTTGATCGATTGATAATCAGTGTGAATTGGTATCCAAAATGGTTTGAATGTTTCATCTGAATCGTGACAGGCTCTTGAACAGAATAATAATTGAACTGTAATCAGGAAATTTCAATTACTGTTATTTATCAGTAAAAAGCTACAAAACTCTGAGGTGCTTTTTGAATGTACTCGACGTATTTTAAGAGCACGGATAGGGTGGAATAATTCTCCAATGCTCAGAATTATTGCAATATTGTAGTCATAGTCCAAAGATGCTGTTTCGCTCAAATATTTTCCCTAATATTTTCCAATAAGATACGCTGAAGATTAGATATAAAAGTTCTCTTTCATAAATGAAATGATTTCATTGGGAATATACATTTTTTGAACCAAGAGGAGCAAACATTTTTTGTGGAATAAATACACATATTCAATATCAGCTATCAGTAATTTCAATTTCACATGTAGAAGTGGATTTTGAAAGTTTATTACCAAATATACGATCAGTTCAATTTAGATTTGTCCACTGTAAAAAATATAGTAAATATCCTTTTTTTTTCTGAATTACAATTCAGTTATTTTGCTCCCTTGGAACGGATCAAAGAATGGAACATGATCAAGTTCTTAAACTTACCGATGAATTCACTGATGGATTCATCTATTGGTCCATTTGAAACGTTAGTGTGTTTGTATTGGTTAAAGCGATCCATTGGAAATTTTCTGTTGAATTTTATAACTAATGGAGCTAATTTACTTGAAATCATGTTATTGGAAATTTTACTACAAAGGGGCCAAGAATGACTTATTATTGACAAAATGGTTAAGGCTTTCGTGGCCGAGGTTTTTAGTGTTACTATTATTCGGGTTGGAAGGCTGTGTAATTTTGGAATTTTTCATGACGTTTCGCTGGAACGAGTGGCTACCTTCTTCAAAGGTTTATATGTCCTGTGTTGATATCCGATGACTAAATATTACGGTTTCCTGACCTGTATACCTGAATTAGGCAATTTGTCGGTAACATAAATGGACCCTTTTCTACCTGGCGTCATGCTGTTTGCTATCATGGAATTTCTCAGAATGGGATTCCATATTTGATTTAGTTTCTCCGCTTCTTTTTTTCTGTTGAAATTATCCGTATGTTTGTGGATCTCTGTTGCCTCCCGTACCAGTCGGCAATTTCAAACATAATCCTGTGGTTTCCTTCACTAAGTTTCGTGTTCTGTGACACACGACTTGTCCCTTTGACCTAGTCTGCAGTTTCTTTCATGCTCCTTCAGCCTTGTTCCCATGGATCTTTTGGTGGTTCCAATATATATACCTTTCCACAATTGCGATAAACCCCTGCTGCTGATAATCACATACCTTGAAAAAGTACCTAATCCAGATACAATTATTAGCACTCCAAACTACCTGACACCTGTAATATTCAGTCATCGGATATGAACCCAGCATGCATAAACCTCTGAAAAAGCTGGCCACTCGCGCCAGCAAAACGTCAGGAAAAATTCCAAGAATACACAGCCTTTGAACCCGAAAAATTGTGACAATGATGAATTATTATTGTTTGAAATATTGCCTTTCATGTTTTATGTAAAGTCCAAACCTGCATGTAGCATTCTACTTTAAAATGATTTCATATGATCTCGGTTAACCCTAACTCTAATTGAAGTCGTTTGCCATGGTTGAATTTTCGTTACTTTTATGGTAGACAAACTTTGTTACAGAATCATTTTCCATTTTCCTCAAATATATTATGCATTTGTATTTTGAAATATCAAATATTCCTTTTCAACATTACCTTTCAGAAGGAAATCTTAAAAAATAATAACCAGGTACCAAGAAGTCAATTGTACTTAGCTCCAAAATTTAAAGAAAACCATGAAAATGGAAAATGTCAATTGGCAATAATTATTTATAATTTTGAGTTTGTATTTGCAAGATGACTGAATATCCATTTACAATAGATATGGGTAAATAAATGCATATCAATGTATAAGTTAAAAAATATTCTAAGTAGGTTTGAAATGAGTATAGCTACTTATATAGGCTTAAAGGTTTGTCATTGCCCAATTAAGGTACTCACTAATATTATTTATATTATTTATCAATTTAAATATAATTCAGAAGTATCAATGAGAAATTTGTATATGTAGTAGAATAGTTGAAAAAGTGGCAACTACAGAATAATTAATTTATTGCAATTCCATTTTCAACTTTTCAAATAAATATATCAATTGATAATTTTATACCATTTGAACAAACTTCTAAATTTCAAAACAATGTTAGTACTGTTGATGCGAATAAAAAGCATATTTCAGTTCAATAAATATCGGAAGTCATACAAACAATTGTATTTTGAATTTCAGTGAAGATTGAATTCCTAAATATTTTCTTCTTTATCATTTTTAGTGGATGTCTTTATGGGTATAAATCAATTGTGCCAATGATATAACTTTCATTATTCTACTACAGCTACAGAAGCATTAAGTTTAGACATAATTTTTCTACTCTCATCACTTGTTCCAAAATGTCACTGAACCCTGGTAATCTTCATGGTTGCAATTTATTTATAAATATTTACTGATCCCGGTGATTCATCAGTCACATTGAGAGATATGTTTTTATCTCGTGTTCCTCCTGAATCTTACTTAAATTTAATTTTCCATGTTATCAGTCAGGCGAAATTTGCTAACAATAAGATACACTTTCTCAATATTTTTTATTTTACATTATTTCATGTGTAGTTTGCTCTCAGATTCTATAGTTAAGTCATCTGTGATTCATTTGTATCTTTTAAAACAAACTAAACTCATTCATCATCAAATTGAAGAGTAAAGTGGAAAATGGCATTTTGAAAAAATCAAACTGATCATTTTCTATTGTTTGATTGATTTATATTATCCAGCATTTGCACTATTCATATTATGTGTAACATTGATATTGGCAAATATTTGTTGAAAATTCCCAGTTTGATTTCATCATTTGTCAATATATCTGTGTACCCGAGGAATTAGGAAAATTATTCTACAGAAACCCCAAATGTTTAGACAGTTGGTAATTGAAATTGTTTTTGAACTCTGCAGTGAATAATCGTTGATTTTTAAATTCGTTTGTCAATAAATTATAGCAATTCCTCAACTGAATTAGCTTGTTTTAACATGAAGAAACTCAGTGCAACTTAACGAGAGTATCTTGAAATTTCTAGAAAGATCTTTCAACCAACATATTACAAATGTTATTGGCAACTTTTACTATGTAAAAAAGCAATTTCACCAAAATGGGGGTTCATTAGAAGGTGTCCTGCCACTCAAACCTTTTAATGAAATTTAACATCAATGTGTCACCTACAACTAAATCCACTCTACGGAGGTATTTCTACCTACTATCTTGAGGGTTCTCATAAGGTTCCATCAGATAAAAGTGATTCCTCATAATATTTGCCAATGAACCCAAATGTTTTCCCCAATCTCTGAAGTCCTATATACTGTTTCCAAATGTACATTGAATTTAAATAAAAAAAGTGCAAATTTCTGAGGAGGAATCATTAGTTGTTCTAATTAAATTAAGTGATGTCATCCTTGTTTAGTCTCTTCTATGCTTATGTCAATTACTTATAAAGAAAAGGTCCAATCATTTTAACAAGCATATGGACATTTAAGAAAAAAATTTGGGTATTCATCGACATCACAGCGATGTTTTTCCTTGAATTTTTTCTTAAGGTTCCCTAGTATTCAAAGGCAATTTTCATTGAAAATCCGAATCATCTAATTATGAAATCGATATGAAGATATCCTTAAATTATTTGTTCTGCTATGATTATAATGAAAAAAGCAGATAGTAAAAAGTGCTTTTTGATTCTTTTCAGGATAATTACAATAGAGTGGCTTTCAGATCAGAATGTATTGTTAGCAAATTTATAGTTACATTGCAAATGAAACATTCTCTTGTTGTAACAGAAACCTATTTGGTTTATTTTGCAAAAATTTCAAATTATCATTTGGGAAGAGAGCATGTTTCATTAAAATAAAAAACTGTCATGTTTCCCTATGAAATATGACAAGAAATTTCATTTTGGAAATGTGTTGATTAGAAAATTGTTGATTGTGTTGGTATGGGACTGACAGTTTTTAATTTTGTGTTTACTTTCTTCAAAAAATATGTTTTAGGAACTAGCCGATCCTGAAGAAGTACTATTACACTGTATCGTTCACTCTCCAATTGGTAGATTTTTTCAGGTATTAACTCTTAGGTAGGACGTTTTTTATAATCTGTAGGAAACAGGAGACCGAACCAAGAAGGCAGTTAACAGTTACCAAAAACCACAATTTTTTTTTAAATTTTGGAAAAATGATTCACCTCAAAACACAAAATGTGGCAATTAATGAAGGATATATTTTTAGGAGATTGTGTTTCAGGGTACAGTTGTACTTTGCTTAAAAATATACGGGTTTTGTATCTGTTAGTTATTGAACCTAATATGTTGTATTTATGTGTATCAATTAATTTTTTCAGAAGGTTGCATAAAAAGGCCATAAATAATCTTCCAGCAGTTTTCAATGTATAGATTGGTTTCAACACATTATATATACTGTATTATGGGGTTGTTGACGCGGGAATCATAAATTTGAACTTTCCAGACTTCCTAGCGAATTTCATTTGAAATGATTGTTAATTTGTCACCAGAAATATTTTAGGTGACTAAAATTGGACTTTAAAAAAATGGGGACTTGCTTTTGAAAAAGTGATTCTTAGAACAGAAAAATTATTGATGTTTCATCACAGTGGTCGGTCTCCTTTGCTATTGAGAAGACTTAACTTGTAACTAGTCATTCGTTTAATAAATTATAGTAGCTCCAATCACATTTATAGAAATACATTTTTTGTTAGGATTCTTACTTGTTTCTTTGTACAGAATGGAAATGTAATGTATAATTAAAATCTTATTATGATGAGCAGAATGGTGTGTTTTGATTTGAACCTATCTCATTTATTAGTTGCACCCAGAATACAAACAAATTTTGTGATTCTTCCTGTACGGCATCATAATCTCTTCTATAAAATCTTTCATGTCTAACTAGACTGCACTATATGTGGGGGTTAAGATCATGTGAACCAGAATCTTAGTTCAAGAAAATATATGGTTATCATATTTGAAAACTTTTATCTTATTATGACTAAGTATTTTGTTTTTAGTTAATGGAATCAAAATAATACTTTTATTAATGATGATTTTATTAACATCCCCTCGGGTATTGAGCCTATGTGGCAATACACACATTATTAGCCCATTTACTAGTAGAACAACTGTTTCATAATTTTCAGTTTGTAATGAATAAATTAAATCTATGACGAAAAAATCCAGATTCCAAGTGAAATAGTAATGAAAAATTCAGAAAAATGAATAGGTATGTATTGGTATAGACTTGAAAAATAAAATAACCGTTTTTCTCACATTTTCAGAAATAAAGGTTCTATCAATTTTTTTACGAGTCAAAAACTCACAACGAACTTTTCCATTGATTGCAGCAGATTCCCTCTGTATTTCGAATAGATAATGCTGTTTCATTGTATTCCAACTATACCACAAAAAAGAAAACTGACTGTTTAAAAAAAATCTGTTTTTCCGTTAACCAGCTGTCGCACCCCTACGAACGGCAACCCTCAGAAGTCGAAAACTGTGCGAGCTAAGGATTAACAAGGTCTTACCTTTTAACGTGTGATTCCTAACACGGGGTGGACGATAGCAAGTGAAAATAGATCGTTCAGACTAGGGCTTGAACCACCGACCAACACGGCATTCAATTCGAGTGAGTGGACAAAGCACCCATGTCGAACCGCCTGGCTACCGACCGACCTATACTATTCCAAATTCGTAAGCACTAAATTCTCAGAAATGACTGATGTTTTTACCTTAATTTGTCTTTTTCAGTGGCGTACGGAAATTATACTAAACAGATGAGGAAAAATCAATTTCACGGTATTGCTAGTATTTAAAAACTATATTCACAAGTTGAAATAAAATTATATTGATTATATAAAAAATATA